GAGCCGCTATTTTCTACAGAGCCCTTTGTTAGCTCCTTTTCCTACAGCATACTGTCCTACTTAATTGGTTTTACTGACTTCTGACTTAGGGAACCTTCTATAGTCTACTATCACTCCTTTCGACGCTGCTGACTCTTTCCGAACAAGTTCTTCTTTAAGTCTTCGATATAGTCAGCTACTGATCATGGAAAGTTTTCCAGCAGAGGTTCAGCGCATTTTGGCACCTGTTTCTGACTGTGCTAGTGCCACAACTCTTTCTGATTTAACCGAAAAGCTGATGCAGACTTATGGCTTTGCTAAACCACCACCTGCCGCACTACCTACAATTCAAATTGTTTCTGTGTCTCCACTCAGATCTGAAGGCTGCGATTGCGCAGCTTACTGCGCATGTAGCTTATTTAAAAAACGAGCAACCTCTTAATCTGCGAGCCAGCCGAGGTCACCTATCCGGCAGTTTCAGCCAAATTCATCTGGTCCCACCTTAACCGTCACCTGCCGTTATCACACCAATTTCGGTGTTAAAGCCAGCCGATGCATTTATCCTTGCTCCTTCATTTCCACTTGGAGTAAACGGGTAAAACCGGTCCATACGAAGGTTAATTCCACCAATCTTCCTGGCGTTTCTAAACCCGGTCGCACTTTTTACGTCCACGACAGCAAAAGGGAGAGACGTTTCTTGGTTGACACTGGCGCTCAACTGAGTGTTCTTCCTAATTCAGCAGCTGACCGTTGGTCTCCCAACCCGGGTTCCTTTCTTCAGGCTGTCAACACCACGGCAATTGCCACTTTCGGTACCCGTTCCCTCTCTTTGGAAATCGGTTTACGGCGTCTTTTTCCCTGGGTCTTTGTAATTGCTGACTTGCCCTGTTACATAATTGGTGCAGACTTTCTTGCTGCTTTCGGTCTTATTGTCGACTGCCGCCATTCCCGTTTATTTGCAGGGACTGCGAAGTTGACTTTTCCAGGTATTTCATCATCTCAAGTGTCCCATCTTGGACCCTGGTGGTGGTAGTTCAATTCGCCAACTTCTTGCGAGATCTTCTGGCCCCATTTGTCCCACCTTAAACGTTTCTACACAACCGCACGATGTTATGCATCACATCCGGACCACTGGCCCTCCTGTATTCTCGCCTTCGCCGTCTCGCGCCTACACGACTTAGTGCTGCCAAGGCTGAGTTCGAGCATATACTCGAAATGGGCATCGTTTGTAAAACTCAAAGCCTATGGGACGCCCCCCTTCATGTGGTCTCTAAGGCCGACTCTGGTGACTGGTGACCCTGTAGTGACCACAGGGGTTTCAACAACGTAACTATCCCGGATCCTTACCATTTTCCCCATCTTCAGGATTTTGCCGGTGCCCTTTTCGGCAGGTCCGTCTTCTCGAAGATTGACCTGGTCCAGGCTTTTCACCAGATTTCTATTGACCCGGAGACGGCCGTAACAACTCCCTTTGACCTCTTTGAGTTCTTGCGCATACCGTTTGGACTGCGAAACGCCTCCGAAAATTTGGAAAGGTTTGTTGACAGGGTGCTTCGAAGCCTCACATTTGTTTACGCCTAAATCGATGGCGTTTTAGTTGCCAGTTCCACCACCGAAGACCACAGGGACATCTGGCAATATTTTTCTACAGCCTTCAACAATTTGGCATTGTCTTTACACCGTCCAAGTGCGTTTTGGCGTTCTATCTCTCGAGTTTTTTTGCACATCGTCAATACCAACGGCATCCATCCTCTTCCTTCCAAAGTTGCCGCCAATCGCGACTTCCTGCCTGTTTCTTCCAAGCATCAACTCCAGCGATTTTTGGACATGGTTAATTTTTACCGCCGGTTTCTTCCGAAGTGTGCCGAGACCATTTTGCCACTGACGAACCTCCTTTCGGATCTCAAAAGTTCGTTCGAGCTATTTTCGCTGCTTTTGACAAATTAAATGCTGCCCTAGCCGACGCTGTTTTCTTAACACACCTAGTCCCTGATGCTCCCATCTCAGTCATGGTTAATGCTTTCAATGTCGCAGTCGGTGCGGTTCTCCAGCAGCATCTTGCAGGTCAAACCCAACCTTGAGCTTTCTTCTCTAGGAAGTTTAAATCTGCCAATTCGCGCATCAGCACATTTGGACGGGAGCTCCTCGCTGTCCACCTCGCCGTGAAAAACTTCCGGCACTCCCTCGAAAGCAGAGAATTCACTGTTGTCTCTGACCACAAGCAATTTTCGTATGCCTGGAAGTCACAATCAGACAAGTTAAACCCCCGGCAGATTAGCCAATTGGACTACATTTTTCCCTACATCTCAGATATCCGCCATGTCGGTAGATCACGCAATGAGGTGGCTGGCGCATTGTCCAAGCTCTCCTTTGCTCATTTGCAATTCACTCCTGGGACCGACCTCGCTGAGATGGCTGCCGAACCACGCCGTGTTGGTTCCCCTGTGACGAGGATGTTTTCTGACTCTAACTCCAGGAGTTTCCACTGACTATTGGCAACGGCACCATCCTTTATGACGTTTCTACCGCCTCTTATCGCCCCTTTGTTCCGCCGTCCCTCCGGCGAAATGTCTTCTCCTACCTGCACTTACTTTCTCACCCTGAGAGCCGAGCCACCGACAAGCTTGTTTCCCGCCGCTTTGTCTGCCCTAGGATGCACAAGGACCTGAAAACTCTGACTCAGGCTTGTATCGTTTGTCAACGGAGTAAATTCCATCGGCACAACAAGTCACCCATTGACACTCTCCCCAGCCCTGGTGTCAGGCTATCACGGTCGTCAAGGCCTTCCTCAGTCGTCGGTTTGAAATTTTATTGCTCCTTCCACATTTCCCACTGACCGTGGTGCTCAATTCCAGTCTAACCTCTTGAGTCTTTACTCTCCTTTTAAGCTGTACTACGATACGTACTACAGCCTATCACCCGGCTGCCAATGGGATGGTCAAATGGTTCCACCGCCAGTTGAAGTCCTCCCTACGCACCGCGGCCGATCCGAGGAATTGGTCGGACCACCTTCCCCTGGTCCTGCTGGGCATCCGT